CTAACTACGTGGAGCCCATCTGGACAGAACATCTGTGAAGTGACTATAATGCATGAGACAGCATTACATGACCCTCATCTCCACAGCTGGGTCCAGCCTAGTCGGCTGATCGAACCAATCCGGCATTTGAGCGAGAAGACATCGCTTAATTAAAAATAACTCAGTGCGACTAAGAAATGCAGCCATACAAGGAGCAAAGCTTTACTGGAAAGATGCACAATGGCACAGGGACAGAAACGAAGATGGTCCCTTAAGGGGCCACGTCTTCAAAGGAGGTCTCTAGGGCCCCAAATGGGTCTGGAGGCAGTTTCTCTGCTAACGCCTCCTAGCTGCTTAATGCTTTACTGCATGACAAATAATCCAGGAAGTCAGTTCCACGTGGGCAGTGCTGCCGATTGGTGTGGGCTCCTGAGGTTTCGGGGCCCCCTGTTGGCCACAAACAGTCACCACACTGGATGGGATGGGGAGGTGGGCCCCAAAGTGACTTTTTTTTCCCTGAAGCATGGGGCACGTGACCAAATGAAATCCCATGTTGTTTTTCCTGGTGTCCATATATTAGCATATGTACACCTGACTACTGTGGAATAATAAGAGTCATGTAGAGAAAAGGGTTAGAAATACAGACACGCGTCCAAACACCGTCTCACAGAGACACTCGGGAGTCATTCATCAAAACAAGAATGTGAAAAACACAAGAACAGCCAGGGACACCTGGTGGCTAAAGACTTTAGAGGCTGGAATCTTAGCTAAGGGCTCGTATCTCACTTAATGACCTTCCTCCTGGTGTTTTTAATTGCTACACACGACGATATTTTTGTTCAATCCAGTGAGAAAATGTGCCGAGTCCCAGCTGCCGTCAGACTTTCGAGATGCCAGCTCAGACGTGACGCTCAACCAAAGAGCCATTTCATTTTTTCTGCCCCCCAGCCCATATGCCTGAAGCAGCCCTTTGCTGTCTATCTGATTCTGGAACCAGTGGCCACATGTTACTCAGACCCCTTCTGTTTCCATGGCGACAGCAGACTGGCTCATTCTGAGCGAAGATGGATGGAGACACAATCTGATATCCAGCTTAGACCTTCAGGTTTCTGAACGTCTCGGTCTGCCCAACGTTCCTTCTGACTGACCCACACGTCCATCCATCTCCATGGCCTTTTACCTGAGCTGGGTCACCAGCACTGTGATTTGTTTTTCTGCTACATCTATCCATCCATAATCTAATCATTTTTTCCTGGTCATGCATAGGACACCCTGGATGGACTGTTGGTTGTTACAATTAGGGCTGGGAAATGTATCCTGTTAATGTGATACATTAATTTTAAAGCCATTGAAAACGGCGTTAACCTTAGAGGCTTCTTTGGTCACACTGCTCCACACAGTATTTTGTTGATAGTATCACAACTTGAAGCTGTTCTAGCTAAATTGATATGTTAGCACCCAAGTCCAATACTACGCCAAATCGCATTTGTATTCGCGTGATTTTCAAGTGATCCATAGTGACGTCCGGTTCATTTCAGTGAATTGGTCAAACTGGTTTTCAGATCAAAAAGAATCTAACTTTTTCTACATCCACGCGTTGCACAGGTCAAAGTCTTAGATTTGGAATCTAAAAATATTTATCATATAAAATACACAGCAACTTTTTTTATTCACTTACATTTGCTTTTCATAGACTGGCTGTAGCCATTGTGCTTTCAGTGCCCCTCTGGATACCATTATCGGGTGTATTTATGCAGTGTGCATGCCCCAACGTATGCTGATGGTGACTCACTACTACCCAGTAATAATGGCCAAAATGATGTACCTGGAGGAAGCCCCACAATGAGACAGAGAACATGCAAACTCCACACACGGAGCCATGGCAAAGAAGAAAGCAGTGAGGCAACAGTGCCAACCACTGCACCACTGTGCTACCAGTTTAGGCAATGAAGTTTCATAACTTGAGTCTGTCTTGAAAAGAAAGTTAATGTATTATGGTAATGGGCTTGTGACAATGTACTCCCCTGTGTGTTATTTCTAGTAACAGATAAATATTTCTGAATAAAAGTTGTAATATTAGTTGCGATTAATCACAGAAAACAGTGTAATTAATCAGCTAATTTAAAAAAATGATTATTTACAATTTATTCTTTTTAAATGTCTGCTTGTCTTGCAGAGTTATAACAGAAGCACCAAACCCTAACCCAGACTGTAACCCTAACCGTAACCTTAACCCACTTTGACTCATACTCGTCGCTATTGTTTTGGTCACGGCGTAACAAAATTGGGCCGCTTTGGTCTGGGAGTTTTGCAAAAAGGAGTAGGAAAACAACTCCGCCAGCGAACACAGACGATCAGATCCTGATTACAAAGATCCTGGCTAAACCACAACGTGTCCGGACACAGACGTCCAGTGTCACGGCGTCCCCTCACTGTCACTCGGAGATAAGGCCAGGACATTGCCCCATGGGAGACTCATTTAAATGTAAAGTCACCTGAGGCCATTTGGGAAAAAGCAGCAAGCAAAATTATAAATACTGCTATGACACAGAGAGCTTCTCTTCTCAGAACAGGCAGCGCGTCACTCCCTCTTGCCAAGAGCATTTCTCAATCTTAATAGATGACACCTCAACTGCGACTGGTTTTAATGAATAGCAGGTCTATTGCATCGGTGGATCACATGTCAGCAGAAATTAGGCCATGTTCCTCAGCCCAGCGGGAGACTCCAGATAGTGCAAGTTAGCAAAGACAGGAGCCAACTTCAGGGAGGGCAAGCTGAAGGGTGAGTTTGAGAGACAGATCCAGAGGAATTAAAATCTCAGGCAAAGCAAATATCAGCAATCTGTCTATAGTGACCGGTGAGGGGGGGGCTGGGTGAAGCAACCTCTTTGTCATCAAGAAGGAAGCAGAAGCAGAATCATGGGGAAATGTACTGTGAGTCAGGATGGTCAGAGGTGGACCTGAGAATCCTGGGCTGTGACTCACGGCACGCGACTGTCATAACCGTGCTGTCCTACATACGCACAAACACTCAGCGATGCTGGTTCCAGCACGTCCCAGCGGCGGAGGTCAGACGTGGACTTCACCCCCCACAGACACCCCTGTGAACTGCACACTTGTCCCCGGTGATGCCTCTCAAACGGAGATGGCCTCCTACCAAACTGAGGGCTACGGGGATGCTGGCTTACACATTTCTGCCTCATCCCATGTGAACCGAACTTGGAAAACCCAAGAACCTGATCCCCAGTGGGCCACCTACTCAGGCACGTGACCATCTAGTTCCTGTAGACCTTCTTTAAACAAGACAATTCTTCCGCACTTCATGTGTGACGTCCCGAAGCGAGCCGCAGTTCAGGACCTGCGCTGGTGGGGGCGGCATTCGTAAAGACCACCGTCTCAGCCTGCTGTCCGCCCCCCCACTTCCTGTGCAGCTCAGAGAGGTGTGACTTGCCACCTACGAGCCGACGCACCACAGCACCACATCCTGCCTCGGGGCACAGAGCGTGTGATTCTACGGTGCACTGTATGGGACCAGGGCATGGGGGGGGAATGCGAAAACCACACGGGGGGCCTCGCAGAGGTTGGGACGCAGCCGGAGTGGACAACCACATCTGTCAGGCCATGACGAAAGCACAACAGCTGGAAATCACCACTTGCCAACAGATTTTCTTAAAAAAAAAAATATGGTGAATAAATAGGGTCGGGATCAGAACAAGGCGCGGGGGGGCTCAGAGCCAGAGGCATCTCAGTTCAGCTGAGCCACGGGGAAACGTTTCTAACAAAGCAGGAACTTCCTACGGCCTGTTCCGCACCGTTCAACAGGTGGCGGCGTTCTGAGGCTACAGGCTTCATCGGAAATGCTTCGACGCCCGTCCGAGCACCTCCGCCTACCCCGAGGTCGGAGGTCTCCATGCGGGGGAGCCTCGTCACGCTCACAGCGCGCCCTGCATCACGCAGCATATGCTGCAGTTTACAGTGTTTTTCAGGAGCACAAATTTACAGAGCAATAAAACGAGACGAGGAGGGTGGTCCAGCCAGCGGCTACCGTTACCGACAATACCTCCGTTAAAACGCCGCCAAAGCGCTACAGCTTAACCTTAAAAACTTCGCAGGCTTTATAGTTCTGGAAGCGGTCGGGAAAGCGAAGCGCTGTCTGATATGACATGACACAATGAAAATTCACATTTGTACCGCTGTGGGCTACCGGTCTGGTGTTTAGATAAGAGCTCATCCAACGGAGAATGAGATCCAGCGTTAGAGGGGCAGCTGCCGAAGGGCGCAGGGGGTGCAGAATCAGCCTGCCAATAAAGGGGGCACTTCAAAACTTCAGTAACTGTGAATTTTACTTTGCTTTTTTTTAGTTTTAACGAACATGAATACACATGAACGAATAAATAGATAACATCCAGATGCAAGAACGCAAACACTATAACCAGGGTATTACTAAACATACAGGCGTTTTATTTCTCCTATAGGAGTCACAAGTGGTCAGCTTGTTTTTTGTTTTTTGTTTACAGCCACACAGTGTTACGAAAGGACTGATAAACCACCAAGTTGTGAGCTGTTGCGCATTGCTAAACATCCGTACTATTTCACAAATACATTTTCCAGTGTTTCTATATATTGGGGTTCGGGTTAGTTAGTCTGCGCGTGACGGTTTATGAAACCTAATCCAGGTTAATCATATAATTTAATGCGCATACAACCATAAATAAGCGAGTAACAACTTTGTTCTACAGAAACAGACACAACGTCTAAATACTGTGGAGGTTTCAAATTAATTTTAATTAATAATTTCTATCACCGAGCATTTTACCAACGACGAACATCGCTGGCAGTCCACAATAACTGCTGCAAATGCAGAAAACACACCCACACGCATTTTCAGGGAACGGGGGTGATAGTGAGTGGCAAGCAAAGTCAAGATGTTCAGTTTAAAACCAACAAGATACCGAATCATTTCGCTTCATACATTGCATAGTAATAGGCTATATTCGATATAAAAGACAAAACTGACTTACCGAGGCTATTTCCCAAGCCATCCATGACGCCTGAGTGTTTATTTCCAACGATTTGTTCTTGTTAAGTGTTTATCTTCTCGCCTTTTCCTCCAGAAAACTCCGTCTCTGGACACTCGGAGCTGTGTGACAGCGAGGCGCCGCACCGCATCAGTCCTCCGCCGCAGTCGGGACGGCGGCTCGGCTGCGATCGCACCGTGTATCGGCGCACATTTATTCGCCTTTAGAAATCAGACTGAAAGCAAATCCAGGAAATGAGCAGTGCAACGAGGTGGAAAAAACACATTCAGCTGCACTTTCTATTTATTCGTACAAAACCATGTCGGTGTGAAAACAAGTAAAAGCAAAACTTTACGCAACTCCTAACTATGTCTTTTCTCAACTTTATTTTCAATCATAGTTGCACACGAACGTATCTATCTGTCTCTATTTGTACTCTTTCGAAGTGTCGTTAGCGATACTATATATGTGCACCAGTCAACAATACTGGATGCGAACCAGTACCTCCTGGGTCCAGTAAGTAGCTTCATGTAGCTCGTGTGCGGGTTCGGTGAGAAAAGCACATGATATTCCTCTAATAAGCGATTTGAACAGCCAGGCTTGGGTGTAAACGAAAAGCACTGCTGAGGAGGGGGCATTTTCCTGAACAGTCATGCGCCGCTGTGCGGTAGCCCAGTGTACTGCATCCCACAGCAGTAAATGTATTTACTATTCAGATAAGTTTGCGGATTGAAAAAAATATGTTCGGCACCTCTGTGGCATTAACAAACTGATTTAGTTGCTCTTAAAGTTGCGTATTCGTGTTTACCCTGCAATATAAAACACACTTGAGACATTAAACCAATAATTGTTATGAAAACATAATATAGCCTGCTTACTAAGCATAAATGCCTCCTTTTTTACTGCACCTAATGATTGACTGTATTTTATAACGGATTTAGGGGAACTGAGATTTACCTTAATGATATTCCGTTACCTTGAGGATGAAAACTCGAACTACCCATGACAATATGGAGAATATCAACACGAGACACCGATACCAGCACAAAAGGGGAAATTTAGCAGCACATTATAATACATCCATATGAATGTGCTATTGACTGACCCAAGGCTAGAGGTAGTGGCAGTTTACACAGATAAGGTTTTATTTACCATTTGTACACAGGAAATCTTTAATTCTTACATATTACTATGAGACACAAAGTTTCGGGTCAGAAGCCAGGGTCTTGATCAAAGACCACTCTGCCAGACAGGGGGTTTGAACCCATGACCCTCTGCATGCAGGCACTCCTGCAGAGCTGCACACCACATCTGGGATGTGAACCCTGGACTCCTAAGAGGCACAGGCAGATTGTATCTTATTTCTGAGGTTGGAACAGCGACAAAATACTTGGGAGGAGTCGTAATTAAATACTCTAATGCAATAACTTGATTTTATATGATGTGATTAATTGTTTTCAGTCATTTTTAAATGGAACTTGGTATACATTTACACCTCCCAATGGGTGTGTCTGATGTGGCTCAGCAGACTAAGCACCGGACTAAGGGGCCGTTATCTCTCACGCGATCTGTCGTGGGTGGGGCCGTAATCCCTCACTCCTTCCATCTCGGGTGGGGC